ATGATCAATTTTACTCTTTCATTGAATATTTGGTTGGTTCAAAATTAGCAAATTTACTTCGAGTCCAAGAAATAAATTCTGTGCCAATTCTTTTGCTAACAACAGATGTTTTCGAACATTTATTTTTAAAAATCAATGATGTTGAAACTGATTTATTACGTCAAGAATTATTATTAAAGATCGATGATAATAATTTAATCGTCAAAAGTGCTAATCGCACAAAAATTCAATATTTACGCGATATCTTGAAGATAGCAAGTGATCGTATATTTAAAGAAGGACAACGAATTGCACCAAAACATCTGATCAATTATTCATCATTTGCAATTCCATCAGCAACACCAGCTGTATCAACTGCTAACACGTATTGTACTCTTACAGTTGATGATCAACGAAATCATTTATTAAAATTTATTGATGATTGGTCATCTTTGAATGAAAATTTTTTGAATCTAAAAGAATTCAAACTAGAAGCAGGTAATAATTTTAGATTAGTCGTAAAAGCAGGTACCAATGGTGTCCAAGCATCGATTGAATGCCTATGTAAAACAATTATTACATTAGGAAAACTCCATAATAAATTAATACCATCTAATTTTTATCGTCATTTAAAATCACCTGGCTGTAAATATGTTAATCATTTGTTGAAGGAACGGAAACTTGAAGAAACGAATAGAAATAATTCTTATTCAACATCATCAAGTCAACTTATTGACAATAATTCACAATCGACCACAGCTGTTCTTCCTAATCGTAAACGTACACTTGGATCGACACACAAAATCAACAGTCAAAAAAAACAAAAGAATTGAAATTATCTTTAAAATATTTTTTATTATGTCATAGTTATACTGTATGGTTCTATTTTTACATCATAGCTTTATATTGTACAACTAAATTATTTCTTGATGTAGATAAGTTTTTCTTTTTTTGTGTGTGACATATTTTATTACTTATATGGTATTTTAACCTCTATTTGTAAACTACACTCTCACTACTTTCTTTTTTAGGATGCGAATATGCGTGGACAAATTTCAACATAGAAAGAAATCAAATATTTTTCTGTTTCGTTCGAAATGCATCATATACTAATCTTTGTCTTGTACATTAGAAAGCTCGAATTTTTATTAAATAAATAGTTTTGTAAAAAGTGTCCTCGTATTAACAATACATTGGTATACATATTTATACAGAAGAAACGTCTGTTTGATTGTGAATCTCTTTTATAATATTATACATTATACTTAACTAAAAGTGATTAGATTTGGTCACTGTTTGATTAGGAGTGATTAGTGGTGATTAATATTGATTAGGAGTGATTAGCTGTGATTAGAAGTGATTAGGAGTGATTAGTGGTGATTAGGAGTGATTAGGAGTGATTAGGATGATTAGCGGATTCCTAATCAGCTGTTTCCCCCTTGCCACACCCACACCCCACCCACACCCACGCCCACGCCCACGCCCACCCACACCCACTCACACCCACACCCACACTCCTTTTTGTTCTTGAACTCTCACCCTCACTCCTTCATATTGTAACGAATGACACTAGGTTGCAGAATGTCATTCAAAAAATATTTCTGATCTTTGGGTAATTGACACGTAGATTTTATCGCTTACAATAATTTCGACACGACATAGACATCTCATTTTCTTCGAATACTTTAGATAGTTCTCGGATCATTGTCTATTCACTAAACTTATCATTGTTTAGGACACAATGGATGAACATCTTCGTGAATTAATTCGTTATGTCAGGCGTACATTCTACGATCTTCCCAAATCGCTCGTTCTCGAATACATATTTTACCATGATCGCATTAGACAACAAGATCTAGCCGATTGTTTATGTTTAGATCCTAAAACAGTTCGTTCATATATTCAAGCATTTAAACGTGACAAATTCATTATTGAAGATCATCGTCTCGAATCCAATGATGGAACGAATAGTCAACAGAATCAAGATCAATATTATTATAGGCTTAACATCCCAACATTTATCAATATCGTCAAATATCGTCTCATTCATATGCAAACATACGTGGAAAATCTCGAACGACAACAAACCACTAAACCATCGAATTATAAATGTGAACAATGTCGGAAAGATTATACTAAATTTGATATTGGCAAATTATCGTTTAGGCAAGATGCTTGGATATGTTCCAGCTGTGGCGATAATGTTCAAGAAGACATTGAAGCAAAAGAAACGTCGACAATCGGTTGACATGAGGTTATTTAATGAACAAATGAATAGTTTATTTTGCAAATTGAAAGAAATCGTCGAGTTGAAAGCAAAGGAGCAATAAATAATTTATTGATCGGATGCACTAGCATTCTATCAGTGAATTTCTTCACCTCTTCTTATTACTTCTCTTTCTAGAACCCTCACTCAAAAGTCCATATTTTGTGACGCGCGATGATCTCGAGAATCGAGCATCACGCAGCTCTCGAACAAATGTCATCGAATTGGCGAAGTGATTTGTATAGTTCAAACAAATCAATCCGAAAACGAGCAGTATCAATGCAGAAACGAATTGACATAGTAGACACTTCGGAGACATTACGTAAGTTCGAACACATCTATTCTTTGCCAACATGCGTCATTTTCTCGTGCAATATCTATGACTCATCGACGCACTGAAGAGTATTTTTCTTTCATTTACTGGCTGTTTCGAACACAAACCATATAGTTTCTTTCGTGAGTGTACGTTGCTTTACTACAATCAAACATAATTGCATGCAATCATGGAAGATCTGTCCGATGAAATTCTCTCGATGATCTTCGACTATCTGCACAGATTCGATCTGTTGTATGCGTTCAGTAATTTAAATCAACGTTTTCAACGTATTATTGAACCCTATTTCATGAAGATTGATCTGATCGGCGAGGATCTTTGGTCAAGCAGATTCACATCATTACGCAAGTACATTGTGTCGACACGTGACTCTCTTATTCATCGACTTGACCTTGCTAATAACGAACAATTTCGCTGGTTCTGTTCTCATATTCATCGTCTGACTCATCTTCAATTTCTAACATTAAAAGCAAGCACTGGTCTTGCTACCGAGCAATACTCTTTACTTCAACAGCTGCTCCATAGAGCTCTACGTCTGAAATCCTTGTCGACATTGGCATTGTCGAGATTGTTTACTGATCTGACACATCTGATTGCTTCGTTGGTATCCACAAACCTGACAACATTAATTCTACTCGATGAATTCAGCTTTCAATTTGCTTCCGATCCATGTCCACTGCACACCATTCGACGTTTCTCTGTTCATCTCCAACAATTCACATTGACAACGTTGACTGACATCTTCCACGTCTTGCCCAATCTCAAAGAAATGAAGTTATCCATCGTCAATGTTTTTCTTCGTTTACCTGGTGATCGTCCTCCAGTGCAAAAACCGTCGACATTAACAAAACTAATCGTAGACTTTGAACACGGTGAACAATTAGATATGCAAATGTTGCACGATGACGTTCTTCATCTCTTCAAAGATCATCTTCGATCGTTGACATTGATTATCGACGAGGCGCCAATGGAATTTATCGATTTTGACAAACTACACAGTCTCGTGAGCAACTTTCCCTGTCTGACAAGATTCCATTATCACATGCGCTCAACTTTCAAACCAGATGCATGCTTTTCTCATGTTGAACGACTCGCCGATGCCAGCTACTATATCTTCACTTTACCACGACCACATGACGTCGACAATCGGTTTCGGTCGAAGCCATCATTTGGTTTGAAATACAATCAAAACACCACTCTCGAACAGTTATTCCATTGCACGACTCTCATCGTTAGCATTGATACTAATGACGAAACGATGTTCACAGCAAATGAACTCGATGCTTACGAAAAATCGACGAATATACGAAGAGTAACACTGACTCTTTCCGACGGCTGGTGGTTGATTCCTCACGGATATGAATGGTTAACAAAACTGCTCAGTCTGTCGCAGAATGTCAACACTTTGTGTATCGACAGTCCAGATGGTGCAACAATTCTTAACGAGCTACGAAGAATTCTACCGATGGAATGTGCTAAAAAAAATCAGTCGTTTCGTCATTGAGCAATCGTGGTCACGCTTCGGAGAGGGTCACATGCCACTAGAACCACAGTACTACCACAGAGCATTCTATGGAACACTATCTGAAATCTTGCCGAATCTTCGTACAATCCGACTTCCATGTCATGTCGGATCGACTAGGCCATAAGAAGAACATTGTCCATATGGCTAGAACATACAACTGTAATCAGTGACAATAATAATCAATGATTGTGCTAGACTTGGATAGTGTGCGTGAGGGTGAGGGTGAGTTCAGACAATCAGATACCACGACGCGTTTCAGCTCAATTCCAGAGACTCATCAGATAGCTTTGACTCAAGATCGAATCGCTAAGAATTTTATTGCTGGATTTCTTTCGATTCGAAATTAATATTACGAATGAATATTCCGCTTCAGACACTTGTTGGACTAGTTGACTTTGTTCGGACTGCTATCTCTGATGAAGAACAATATCTGAGAGGAAAAATTTACATAACATACCGAAATCGAATTGATGATGGATTTGGATTGATCTGAACTATGCCAAATGTAATCACTTTAATGGAAAATATAAAAGATATGAGTTGTGAATCTGATATGTGAATTCATTTTTGAGTATTAACATTGGGCTTAGTGACGGATTAGCCTTGATTCATCTGGATTTGACTGCTTGTATGTGAATGGTTTTGGTTGGCCGTTCATGACTTGAGAAAGTGGTAATATCACATGCATATTGAACTCAGGATATCAATTGGCGAATCAGATAAGACTCGATGACAACACTTGTGATGTTTGGATTGTTTTTAAAGCTGTGATCATTGTTGATTGTGATTGTTTGTATTGCACTTGCTATTGGTTGTTCTTGGTTATAACCACTTGAATTAGAAGAAGCCAGTTGTTTGTGGAAGTTGAATAGAATAAATTTGCTGATAGATGAAGAGACTTACCGTTTGTCGAAGGAATAATCTTTGAATGAAAGAATAGTGGAGTGGAAGGGGCTTTATATAGCCGAAGAGGAGAGGAGAGAGAGCATTGGCGATGCTATACTATGGTCTGTGTGAAAGAATTTTATCAGTGGGAAGTTCTATCTTTAACTGATGAAGACGCATAAAAATGTGAGTGCGAAGAATGATTGTACAAGTTTGTACTTGAAAATCATCGTCCTCTGCATAATAGTCCAAAGTTCAATTTTTTTCTTTTTGTCCTGACTACGCACAACAATGTGCTTTCTTCAGTTCTTTCCCTAAAATCTAAAATTACTCAGGAAAGAGAAGAAAAAAATAAACTAATTGAGCACATGAGAAAATGATTGGACCATATATGGATCATTCACAAATGAAGTTTCATGTATGATCCGTAATGATCCAAGCTATCGTTCAAAAGATAGAAAAGATTCGTCAACAGTTGCGAAAATGCTTGGATCATATATGGACCATTCATCCGAGATGATCTACATATGAGGGTGAGGGATGAGTTTAAACAATTAATAACCAAATTCCGGAGTTCTTCCTTATTAAAGGGAAAATCATCAGATGGTAGATAGAAATCTGCATAATAAAATCAGTTTCAAATTAAATTGATAGCTAAGCCACCAATATTAACCTAGAATTAACTTTGTCGGAAGCAAGTAATCGATCTTGAGGGTTAGGGTAAGAATAGCTGCCATGACGCGTTTCGATTCCTGCTAAAGAATCGTCATCAGATGGCTTAAAGATCTATTTTTTTTTCATTCGAACTTTAAAAAATTTAGATAAATTCAAAACAAATCTCTGTACTTAGCAACAAATTTTCAAATCTAATTTAATAAATTTCCAAATAGGAAGTATACTATATCAATGTATCACTGTGCTTCAATAGAAGTAACATTTACGATTAATGCCATAGATAATTAAAATAATTCAAGAAAACTCTAACTTTAGTAAAAAAAATTAAACAACTTCGAAGTTACGACGTTTCAAAAAAAGATTTCGTTCAACTGCGATGAATAACCAAGCAATTGATATGTTAAAGGAAATTCATGAAGCAACTGGATTGATTCATAAAGATAATCAACAAATACATTACTATGGCGCTAATAATGAGCATGATGACGAAGAAGAAGAACGAGGAGAAGAAATGGATAATTTTTCTACAATAGGTACTGAGAGTGACGACGACATGCCACTGTTAATTGAAAATCAGGTACGATGATAAGAATTGGTGGATGAAAACATGATAATATTTTCTAACGTATAGGTTCATTTCAACAAACGTCAAACAATAGAAGAAAATTTAATTGATGATTCAACAAGTCAATTGCCAATATCACTGCTATCAACAGGAACAGATCCATCCACTTCAACACCGATAACGACACATCATAAAAGGCCCAAGCGCTTCAACTTATCTAATGATCATTGGAAGCAAGTGTCAACACTCATACCAAACTATAAGAAATTATCTCCGGATCAATTCAAAGATTTGTTAGTTAAAATGATTTCTCTTGGTGATCGCCATAAGATAGAGCAATGGTTAACACATTTAACAATGTTACAATATCTACAACAACGTGCTGAATTAATCTGTACTTTTTTTCAATTGAAAATTGAAGAACATTATTGGAATAATGTCGCTAATTTGACAACCATGCCCATAGTGATTTGGTTGTCACAAATTTCTAAAGAAATGACACACAAAAATTCGGTCAAGTGGGATCATACTAAAACAAAAAGGAACATTAAACATCGACAACAAATCATTACAAATTAATTACGACAAGCGGAATGTAACATATATATACATTTACAACAACCAGGGTGGCCAGATCGAAAAGTCAAAAATCAGAATTTTTTTTCAAAATCAGAAAACGATCAAAATTTTTTTTGGCAAAATCAGAAATTAATCAGAAAAGCCAATTTTTTGGAAAACTAATGGTTATTATGGTATCATGATGGTAAAAGATAGTCTATTGAGTTGCTGTTCATTAATTCATACTTTTTTTTTCAAGGTATTCCACTATAAAAACAATACAATGAGTATATTGTTTAGCTAATAAGGAAGAAGCTAATGAAAACACTTAGTGTCAGATTCTTTCACTAAACTCGAACTTTGTTCAAAAAAGTACAAAAAACAAATCACATATATACAAAATATTATAACTGATAAGATTCTATGAAAGCTGTCATATGATACAGAAAAGTTCAGAATTCGAGAGAAAAGCAGAGAAAATTATGAAGATCAGAAAAAATCAGACATCAGAAGGAAATCAGAAAAGCGTCCAAATTTCAGACACTGTCCTGACTTTTCAGACAATCTGGCCACCCTGACAACAACCATATCCATTCCTTTCACAAATGAAAAATAATACTTCCGTGGATCATCTAATGAATATCATATTTGATGCTCTTCTTCTTGTTATCAAGAACAGTCTATATTATTTACGTCTCAATTTTCAACAGAAGAAAATCTTATTAAACTTTGATATTAAGGATGCATATCTTGTCAAATCATTCTATGATTTAAATCCAACACAAGAACAGGTTTATATTAATTTCCTTTACATATATTGTAATCAATCTTATATTTCCTTTTTCTACATGTTCTAGATTACAACTGCTCAAACGATTTGGCGCACAAAAGTAAAATCATGTAAACGAGTTATTCGTCAAAAAAAGAAGCATCATTCATCCATCATGCACTCAATAATAATGAACACAATGGAACAACAGCAACAACAGGAATTACTATCGATACAATCCTTCAATGCATCGATGCGTACTATTATCCAAGCAC